TTTCGCATGGAGTTTTTTTGGCTGCCTCTAACAAATTCAGTCTTATTTGTTGGTTTGGTGTTTTGGGTTTTTTTTTTTAGAATTTTGGCTGTTTGCTTTTTTTTTCATGTTGTCTTGATCTGCAATAACTATATGGATATGTGCTTGGACCTGCTAAATATTTTGATTTTGCATATTTGGCTGCTTCAATTTTAAGTAATTTCTTTGGACAACGCAAATTTTAAGAGCTTGAGAGGCTATAAGTGAAATACCAATTAACAGAAGTTTGTAACTAGTTTATAAATGTATATTCATTATCTACTATATATTTTAAGGTTTCATATTTTACCAACATTAAATTAAAAATTCAGTTTCTCAGTTGCATTGGCCACATTTTAAGTGCATTTTCAGGCCATGAATGGCTAGTGGTTACCATTGTGGACAGCACAGCTAAAAGACTTTCTTTCATCACAGAAAGTTCTTTTAGACAGGGCTGTTTTAAACTGTGTAAGCAGTACAGTGTAAGCTCATTTCTGATACCAGTTTTTATAACAGTTTAATAACTCCAAAAGAGAAAATTTGTGACTAATACTAAGAATACTGCCTCTAAATATGTAGCCATCCCTAGCTTGAGTATTTAAAACTTAAAGTTGTCTAAAACAGTTCATTTGCTTTGGTACTTATGCTACTTTAAAGTGGAATTGTTTCTCGTAGCAAAATTCATTCAAAAAAGGCCAAGGACTTAGCCTAAATTTGAATCCTGACCCCAGGACTTACTAGTTTAATAAATTCTGGTAAGTTACTTTACTTCTTTGAGCCTCAGTTTCCTTATGCGTAAAATGGAGGTAACAATTTACCTCATAGGATTAATGTATGACTTACATATGTCTAAAAGCACATAACAAAGGGGACATTTGTAATGCTTTTAAAATATGAAATGAAGCCAAAACGTTTATAAATTAATTAGGCAGTGTCGTTTGCATGGAGTTGTTCCAAGCCTGGCAGTTATAATAGGTGCCAAAAAATGGCTAGATCCAGGAGTATCCCATAGAAGTTCCTGGTTGTCTTGGGGTTATTTGATGGCATTATGTACGTTTGAAACAACTAGAATGCAAGGATGGGGAGGAAAAGAAATTGGAAGATGACCACTTTTGTTTTGGGAGAGGTGCCTAAAATACTTCCTGACAACGAAAACTAATATTTTGTATAGTGTTTTTATAACATATGAAGTTTTTTCCCACATAATTCTTTAAAATTTCATCTCTGTAATATTGTGAGTACCTTTAGCGTACTAATATTAAAGAAGAGTAAAAGGAAACTCGAGGTTGACTAACATTTTTGAGGTTATGTAGCTGACTAATAGAATAGGAAGTCGTAAGAAGTTTCAACTTTAAATCTTAGCTTTCTTCCTCAGCATGTCATTTCTTTGATAGCAGTTGTGTTTCTGAGGCAGGTGTATCTTTCAGAATCTCTGGGAATAGAACTCAGGTACAGGTACCTGTTTTTTCTGTGTTGAGAATGCACCCTCAAAGGTGATTCTGTCTGTTGTCTACCTCTGGTTAAAAAACATTGCTGTTTTCTAGTCTTTTAATTTTTCTTTTCCTGTATCAGTATATCTAAATTAATGCATGGATCATACGAGTAAAACAAAGAGACTGGTAAGCAGTGCACTGATTTAACTTTTACTGCTCCAGATGTTTAGGAAGGAGATCAACAACATGTATTAAAAAGCAACACAACTTTAGTTCCCTATTTGCAATCTCATACATCTCCATTGATCATCACTGGTGGAGGAGGATTCCAGATTAGCCAACTATAGTAGTTAAATCTGTTAGTGTTCCCTTTTCTGCTTCTCTGATACCAGTTTTCGCTAGTTAGTATTCTGCCCCAAGGTATTGCAGACCTTAAGTGTTGACTTCTTAGTGCCTATGGATAGTATCTTCATCAATGTTTTCAATTTATTGGCTAAAGACTTTTAATAATCTTTTCCCAACTGTCTTGAAAATGTTTCAGTGTCCTGGATTTAGTAGTGTTTCCAGGCCCTATTTAACTATGACTGTATCACATTGCTAACAACTCTTTCACAATTGTAAAACTTAGTTTCCCTTGTGAAGGCAAAAGCTCAAAACTTTCCTTTGAATGAAAGTGTCATAATAGGGGTGGGAGGGAGGAATATTCTAGCAGATCCCCAGGTAAGCACAAATTAATCACACTGCACAGTGAATTCAAAATTTTCAAAACTGAAAATTTTTCCCCACATTCAAAGACAGGTTCTATTGGAAACAAGACTTTAAAATTGGAAAATTAAGCATTTGCTAGTTGAAGCAGTAGTCATGAGGTTTTACAGTACGAGTGAACTGTCTTCTGACTCGAGTTGGTTATCAAAATGCAGTTGAGCAGTGGCTACAATATGTTAACATTAGCTTTTAGTTTTCTGAGCAGAGATAATTCTACAGAAACTATTTACAGTGGATACTGGGCTCCTTCCGCATTGAAATCAGTGTATTTGGGATGTTTTTGTATATAGGTGTGCCTTTCTTGGTATAGAAAATACAGTTTTGAAGGGTAGTTCTGATTCTTTTTCAATACTAGGTTTTAAGGGCGTTTATGATTAAAGTGACTGACTTTAATACAGCATTCTGAATTAAACTAAAAAGATTTGTTAAACTTAGTAACTGCAAAGCATATGAGGGATAATTCTTGCCCCCGTCAATTTTAAAATAGCATTATGTTCTTAAAATATATATCATTCTGTTAATTATAGGCAGATTGGATTTGTCTTTGTTATATTATAAATTTTCTTATAAATAAGATAAAATTGAGAACTTTTAAAATATTAAAATTATTTTCATGTCAAAGACTTTATTTTTTTTTAATTTTTTTTTTCTCTGTCTCTCTTTTTAACCTAACTTAGAGATCTCTATATAATAGAACAGTGTCAAGTTTTTGGGTTTTTTTCCCCTCAAAGACTTTAAAAAATCTGTTACAATAAAGAAATGAGACCTGAAAATGAGATGCACTTTAAATCGATGTTATGTCATGGTTTAATGGAAGCATTCTTTTCTTACTGGGTGGTATATAAAGCTAATGGTGCATCTTATAATCATTGATGGTCCTAGGTTTGATAAAAAGTGGTGGTTGATTTTTTTTGAAGTTTGTTGTACTTTCATTCACATAATTCTTTGTTAAAATGTTGCTATATCTGTGGTAAAAAAGAAAAATCTAAGTGGTAAGAATATATGATATTATTTGGAATTATAGTCTTTTACTACGATTTTTTTAAATATTTCCTTCAGATCCTTTTCTTTTTGTTCTCACTGCTAGCATCCTAGCTAGGTGCTTTACATTAAACTGATTCCCTATTCTGAATCTTCTCTTGAAAGATACCAGAACAATAAGAAAAATGGAGATCAAAAGGAGAAAAGGCTTTGGGGTATGGAGTGGGGTGGGGTGGGGGTAATGGGTGGGACCTCCAGATTCAAGATAAAAATAATGAGGAAAGGAAACTTGAGGGAAGTAGTAATAAACAATACTTTCTATTTATCCAGCTTTGCTTGTCCAGAAATCTTTTCCTGCTTGTTACTGATTGTAATATATTAGCTTGTGAGCTACCCAGTAGTTAGCTAAAATCACTTCTGACACATTGCCTAGATTCAGCCAGTATAAACCCTTCTTGCTGAGGCCTTTCCTCATTCTGCAGAAATTGCCCTGTTATCTACTCCAGCCTTCTGAGTAAATTATCTGCTGGTACCTTTTCTTGTATGGACCAAATAACCTCTGCGTTTCCTCTTAATGCACTGTCTCAAGATGAATAATTAAAGTGAGGAACCACTTACCACAGAATGAATTTTTCTATAAGGAACTATAACACATATGTGCACAATTGAATTTGTTGGTTGTTACAGGAGGTTTGGGCATATCAAAATTTTGGGGGGGAGCGGCAGTCTCACTCTGTTACCCAGGCTGGAGTGCAGTGGCATCATCAGAGCTCACTGCATTCTCAAACTCCTGGGTTCAAGTGATCCTTCTGCCTCAGCCTCCCGAGTAGCTGAGACTATAGGTGCATGCCACCATGCCTGGCTAATTGTTTTCGTTTTTAATAGAGACCGGGGTCTCACTTTTGCTCAGGCTGGTCTTAGCTCCTGACCTCAAGCGATCCTCCAGCCTCAGCCTCCCAGAGTGCTGGGATTACAGGCGTGAGCCACCGTGCCCGGCCTTAAATTAACCTTTCAACATAAAACATGAGTTGAGAGAAGCTTTTTTATTTTTTCAAAAGGAACTTTTGCTTTATAAAGGGGTTTATCCCTGGAGTATTTTAACACCACCAATATTTAACACCATAGAGTTTTTAAAATACCCTGCAGGTCCTTCTGGAAGCCACTCTAATTGCTGCCTGGAGTAGGCTTGGCATTGTCATGGAAAAAGATTATGAAGAATTGCTACATCCGTGTCTGAAATTCTCAAGTTTCCAAAAGTCTCTTTCAGAATCTACACAAAAGCTTTGATCTTCCTTTGCATTTTCTTGAGTTAAGCAGCCATTTAAAAGTCCCATATGCAGGGTGATTTCTTAAACTTATCCAATTTTCTTATTTTAGAATTTTAAAAATTATAGTAGTATTTTATTTTCCTATCTTTTCAGCCACATTATACTCTAAACTTTTTTGAGCTATCTTGGGCACCAGACTAATGTAGATTAATAGGAGAAGGAAGATGAATTCCACATTATAAATAACTGACGTACTGATAAAGTCGTAGAGCAAAATCCTTTGCAGTTTGGGGAATTCTGTACTGTTTTTGCGTATTGTAATGCCTCAGTAAAGTAGAAATGGAAACGCGAGACACTGTAAGTAAGGGTAAACATTATTCACTTGTTTATGAATAGTATTTCAAATATAGGTACTGAGTTTTATGTATTTCTGATAAAACAAGATATGCTACTCTTTATATATTAACATTCACATAATTCTTTTTCAATTTGATGGATAATTTTATTGTCCTGAATTGATTTTCTCTTTCTTCAGAGGATGTACTGAGTAAAGATGCTGGGGAATGTGCAATATGCCTTGAAGAATTGCAACAGGGAGATACCATAGCACGACTGCCTTGTCTATGCATATATCATAAAGGGTAAGTTTAGTTTTATGTTAACCAAGTTGATGTTAGAGTAAAAGATTATTCTCAGTTTCAGACATTATAGTTAGGGCTGAAAAGGTTTCTTCTTAGTTGAAACAACCCCACCACCACCACCACCACTACACACACACACACACACACACACACACACACACACACACACTTAAAATAATGGCCTTTTTCCCTGTTAGAACTAAGACTTCAACCCACATCTATCTGTATCCACAAGCCTACCATTTTTTAAACATTTACTGTGACCTAGGTATTGTCCATAGTTTCTTAAAATAGGTTGCTTCATGTAAGCCTTGTAACAACCTCATTTTACAATTGAGGAATAAGCTAAGGGACAGTAGGCAATTTTCCAGGGTTACATGTCAAGTAAATGGCAGAGCTGAGATTACAGTAGATTTGGAATCTGCGTGACTCCAAAGCCTATCGGGTGTCTTGTAAGGTCGTCTTGTTTTCAGAGCAATACTATAAAAATTTTAGGTAAAAAAAAAAACTACTTAAGGTAACCACAAAAAGAATAGAAAACTATGACTTTCAAACCAATGAAAATAGGGTGGAATTGTACTTAAAGTTGGGGGTGGAGGAAAACAGAAAACAAAACAGAATAAATAATATAAAATAAGGTAAAAAATAAATCCAAATAAATCAATAATTATAATAGATTTACATAGAATACACTCACCAGTTGAAAAACAGAAGGAAAGGTTGGGATATGTTATTGATAAGCAACACACTTAAACATAAGAATATAGAACATTATGAAAGTAAGAGGATAGAAAACTACATCCAGGCCAATACTAACTAAAAGAAAACTGACAAAGCTAAACTGTAATAGTATTAGACAAAGTAAACTTTATAGTAAAAAGCATTATTAGGGATAGAGTCACTATATAAGATTAAAAAATGTATAAAATTCTATTTTTTGTGTATCTAATAACAATCTCAAAATAAACTGTAAAACTCTCAGAAGAAATTGACAAATCTATCATAATAATGGGAAATTTCAACACAACCTCTCATTGAGTCAAGCCATACACACAAAAAATGAATCAAAACCTGGAAAATGAGCAATGCAGATAATAAATTTGATCTAATGGATATGTTTGTGTTTGCAATTAGGAAATATATGTTTTTTTCAAGCACACATGGAGTATTATAGAAATTGATCATGTCCTAGGCCATAGAGCAAGTTTCAGCAAACTACAAAGAATTGGTACCATACAAAATGCTGTTCTCTGCCTACTATTAGATGTCAATAATAAAAAGATAAATAATCCTCACATATACTTCTAAATAAGTTCTAGATCAGAAAGAATAATAATGAAACTTAGAAAATACTCAGAACTGAATAATAATGAAAAATTTTTGACATGTACTTAGTGATTTTGGGAAAGTTTGTGTTAGAGTAGAAAGGAAGCCTGGAACTCAATAAGCCAAGTTTCTAACTTAAATTAGAAAAGTAACAGCAGAGGCCAGGTGCAATGGCTCATGCCTGTATCCTAGCACTCTGGGAGGCCAAGGTGGAAGGATCACTTGAGGTCAGGAGTTCGAGACCAGCCTGAGCAAGAGCAAGACCCTGTAAGATTGGGGGAAAAAAAAAAAAATATATATATATATGTATATGTATATATAAAACTCACTACATTAATAGATCAAAGGAGAAAGACCATTAAATTAACTCAATAAATATGAGAAAGCTTCCAGTAAAATTCTATACTAACATATTAATGATTTTAAAAGAAAAGCTAAAATAAACATTAGATAAATTATTAAAATTAATGAGTTCAGCAAGATTGCCAGATATGAGGTAAACATATGGAAATCTGTTGCCTTCATATCCCAAAATCTCAATAAGAAAAAAGAAAATATAACTTTTTAAAAAACAATAACGTAATGACAACAGAAACTACAAGGGCTAGAGGTATATTAGGAATAAATTCTACAAAAGATACACAGGACATTCGGAGAAAATTTTTAAATTTTATTGAAAGATATCATAGGTGATCTAAAATAAATGTGGTGGTATACCATATTGTAGACAGGAAGACTCGATGTCATAAAAATGTAATTTTACCCCAAATTAATCCAGATAGTTAATACTACCTCAATCAAATCTCAACTAGTTTTTTCCCATAACTTGACAAGTTGATTCTAAAAATATATATGGACCAAAGAGCAAAGGGCCAAGGACAGTCAAAACACTCATGAAGAAGAGCATTATATTGGCAGGACTTGTTGTTTACAAATTTATTATAAGACCATATTAATTAAGACAGTGTGGAAATGGGACAGAGTTCATAAACATTCATGCCTATATAGAGAAACGGCATAGCATGGAGGTTAAAAACATGGACGCTGGAATCTGAACTCCTAAGATTTGAATCTCAGCCCCTCTGCTAATTCGCTGTATGGATCTTGGCCAAGTAACTTAGTTTTTCTCTGTCTTTCAATGAGATAATAATACCAACTTTATAGAGTTGTGGGGGTTAAATGAGTCCAGTTTAGGAAAGTGATGACATATAATAGAGACTATATAAATGTTTGTTGGATAGAATGAATGAAAATTTTTGATTTGCTAGAGATGGCCTTACAGTGTAGTAGACAAAGAATAAACTGTTCAATAAATGGTGCTGGGATCAATTGGTTATTGATATGGAAAAACATTTTGAATCCCTATCTTACATTTGAAGTGAACATCAATTCTCCGTCAACTAAATATCTGCAAGTGGTAAGGAAAGAATATAGGGAAATGTTCCCTGACTTCTTGGGAAGGAATTATTTTTTGTCTAAGCTAAACCACCCTCCCCATGAAAAAGTTAAAGATTGATAGATTTGGCTATATACTAAATTTCAAACTTATTTGTATCATGACACTGCAAAAAAACCAAAAACAAAACCTTAGATGGAGATTATTTTTCATGACAATAAAGGTTTGGTATCTGAAATGATAGTCTCCTTCATTCATTGGCTGTAATGCAGTTAACTCATTGCATTTGGTAAATGAGAGAGTGGAGACAATATCAGTAACACGATCTTACTGGTTCATACACAATACTTCCCCAGCGCGTTAATGTTTTGCTCCATTGAGTTAACAGCAAGATGAAAGCATATATGCTAACACAGCAACCTGTGTAAGAATACAGTACTATAAGGAGACCCATCTCCCCATGTTCCTACTCTTAGTTTAATTAGACCGTGGCCTTTTTTTGTAGGTGTTTATTTCGCAGTTGTCATGTTTTGTGCATTGGCTTTTGTCTTCATAACCCAGCAGTCTCAATCCTTCTTTAATCCTTTCTGTGAGGCTAACTTCACCATTTTTTAAAAGCATATTTTCAGTAGTATTTTATTTATTAGGAAGAAACACGTCTTTGTTCTGGTTATAAAATTGTGTTATTTGAGTGGTCTGCCTTTAAACTGATTTTTCCCCATAATCCCTGTTACTTTTAGTTTACTATTTTGTGGAAAGTAAGGTTTATCAAAAACATGTATATTGTATTATAGCTGAAATACCTGGATAATAGTTTCCTACAAATCTATAAGGAAAAAACAAAATAGAAAATTTGGCAAAAATTGTCAACAATCAGTTCAGGAATTAAAAAAAAGAACCCCAGATGGCCAAAATATAGATTGGTATTCTATTGGTATAAATATAGATTGGTATATTTGGTGAATAATTCTGTAATAGCTGTGTGTAGTACATATCCTACAACTCAGTAATTTCACCGTTAGGTGAAACTCACCCCTAGAAAAATTTCACTTCTAGAGAAATTGTTGATCTTTTGATCTAGGACAGTGTTGCAACCCAAAGTGCAGATCCAGAAGGACATAAGGGGCTTGTGACAGAATATAAATTAGCACAATGCTTTATTCATTGAGAAAGACTTGCTATGATTTAAATAACTAACTAAATGAATAAATCAAAAGTCAATTGAAATGGTGTGATTAGTGACAAAACTAATTTATGTTTTGGGTCTGGTGAGGTGGCCTAACGCCTATAATCCAAGCACTTTGGAAGGCTGAGGTGGGAGGATCACTTGAGGCCAGGAGTTCGAGACCTGCCTGGGCAACATAGTGAGACCCCCACCTCTGCAAAAAATAAAAAAATAAAAATTTATATTCTGGTGCAAACCCTTTATCTCAGAGAGTGTTCATAGCATCATTGAAAATTTCCATCAGTAAAAAAATGAATACATTAATTATAGTATACTTATATAATGGAATACTATACTATACACAATGAAAATGTCAGAATGAGAGTTACTAACAATTGCAAATTTCAAACAAATTGACAAAAGCAAGTTAGAAAAAGCATAATGCTATTTTATGGTAGCATTTATATAAAAATTTAAACATGGAAACAGTACTATATATAGTTTTAGAATACAGACATACATAGTTATAGAGTAAGAAAATGCCTAAGAATGAAAAGCACCAAATTCAGGATAGTCATTTCCTGCTGGGGCTGGAAGAAGGGAATATAATATTTTAAATAACCAATGAAAATAGTTTAGAGTGGAAAACAAATGGATTGCTAGCAGATTATATGTAACAGGCCTGGGGTTTTAAATGATTACTTCTCATGATGAGCCAAATTTACATGGTTTTAAAATAAGAAGTACCCATTTTATTAATAGATCACATACAGCTACTATTCAGATACACTGTGAATTAACACATCTGGAATATTTTGTTTAGTTTTTGTACTTCACTTTAAGAGGTATTCTGGTAGACCAGGGAACTCTAGAGCTAAGTGGTAGAGAGTAGGCTGAAAACAATGTCATAGCCAAAATGGGGATGTATTTAGAGAACAAAAGTCTTCAGAAATTTAGATATTTGAAAGAACATGTGGATGAGGTATTTTACCTTTTTTCTTTTTAATTTCATCAGTCATTTTCACCTACCAAACCGACTTATCAGGATACAAGAATGATAAATATTAATTTTGCCCTTCAGCATATCAGCCAAACCTTGTGGCTTTGTGGCATATGCAAATTTGGCATATGTCACCAAAGAAAATGTTGAACAGTTTGAATCCTGAACTTACTAACTGTTAGGCAAGTTACTTAACCTTTCAAGATCTTGATTTTATCATCTGTCACAGCACTGTGAAATAGAACTTTCTACTGTGATGGAAATGTCCTATATCTGTACTATCCAGTAAAGAAGCCTGAGCCATGTCACTATTGAACACTTGAAATATGGCCAGTGTGACCAAGAAACTGTATTGCAGGGTGGGATGGAGTTAAAATAAATATTCAATAATCACACATAAACATGGTCTTTTAAAATGTGATGAAATTTTGGCAAGAATTAAAATTTAAAAGCTGTTTTTTTATTACATTGATAGGTAACACAAACAGGTTGGTATATGCATAAATGAGTAACTGTTTTAAAAAGAGAAATATCTATCTAAATTTGTCATTTAATTTTGAATATTGGTAAAGTAATAGTTCTGTAGATTGTCTTTAGGGGGATAGTTTTGTTTGAACTTTAAAGTACTTCATAGCATAATTTTACAAAAGATTTTTTCCTTAATGACTTAGAATCATCAAAACATAATGAACATATCCTTATCTTTTATTTATATTTGCCACATATGCTCATTAAAAATATCGATTTTTTTTTTTGCTGCAAAGATATATTAAAGTCAAGAAGTAAGCATTTTTATTGTGGCTGTCATAACAAAAATAATTAAATATAAGTATTTTAATTTTTCTTCTTTTGTTCTTTTCTAGCTGCATAGATGAATGGTTTGAAGTAAATAGATCCTGCCCTGAGCACCCTTCAGATTAAGCATCAGATTCCTGTTTTATAGGTAATTCTCCCTTTTTGTTTTAATTACTTTTTAAACTGTTATCCTGAATTACACATTCTTAACCATTATTTTTATTCATTGAGGCATGTGCATGTAGGTATAATATATGTATGTTTCAGACACTTTATTAGGCTGTTGCATAGAAAACTCACATTTAAAAATACATTAACAACAATACGTTAAGTACTACATTCTTGATATTGAAAATACTTTCACTTATTTAATTTTAGTTTAATACTAAACAGAGGCCGTGAAATACATATTATGACTTTATTTTCCCAGTGAGAAACCTGAGGGTCAGAGTAGTTAAGTTCCATGACTTTCAGAAGCAAGTTGTACCAAACTCATCAATTTGTATATTGGTATGTACAGCTTTTTGTATGTCAGTCATATCTCAATAAAGAGGTTTAAGGAGAAAACAAAACCCCAGCAAGTTGCATCAAGAGTCCAAGGCCATGCAGTTAGCCAGTAGAATCAAATTACATATTCTTGTCCATAACTTCCCAGGTGCGTTCTTAGATAATATAATTCTGATCATTTTAGCATTATTATGTGCCAGATATTGTTCTAAACATTTTGCATCTATTATCAACTCACCTAATTGTTACAGCAATCCTTTGAGCACAGTACTGTTACTATTCTTATTATACAGATGAAGAAATTAAATATAGAAAGTTTACAAAACTTGATTTGTCAAGGTCAAATAGCTAGTTTGTTGCTGGAGATAAGATTTGAGCCCAGGTATTCTGGCTCCAAGGACTGTTCTTAGCAATTTCACTATTATTAGGTAGGAGCATTTTCTTTAAAAAGTTACATCATGGATTCATTCATTCAGTTTAATCATTCACCTTTGTATCCTTGGCATGTAATAAAGTGCCTGTCTATTTAATAGGCAAAAAATGAAATCGAATTGAGTTTTAAGATTGAATAAAGAATTAGTTTTGCTCCACTGATTTAGCTTATTCATGGGTTTTATTTTGCATTATCTGAAAATGTTTAGTGAATTAAGTGATACTTGGGTATTGTGTTTTTTCGTATTTTGTGAAGTATTATAAATTAAATGGCATCATTTAACTTTGAAAAAATAAAGGTTAACTTAATTGCTGTCTTCAAATATAGGAAAAGCTTTTATGAAAAGACTAGCAGAAATGATGTAAAGTATTGGATTGTTACATCAAGGGAGAACATTTTAGCTAATCCTGGAATTGTTTCAGAAGAAGTTAAAGCCTCTATGTTCAGAGACTCAAGACAGTAACAGACAATGTGAAAGGCTGAGACTTAACTCAGGGAACTAGAGCAGATGATGTCCTAAGGTCTAGTCCTGGGCCGTCCCCCAGTTTCCTCTTATTTGAATAACTTCTGCTCTTAAACTTGAGAATGTAAGTGTTGAGGCAATAAACATACTCAAAGAATTCTGTTGCTCTGTTGATGAGGATAATTTAAGAGTAGCAGATGAGAATATTGACAAGAGATTTGAGGTAACTTAAAGCAGCCATAGCAACTGAAATGATAACTGCAGTTGAGTGAAACCTCTGTCATATTAATAGTAGGGCTGTTCACGTGAAATGGGAAAGCCTTGGTAAACTGTAGTAAAGTAAAGTAAAAGACCATTAGCTTTTGAACCTTTTACTGTGAACTTATTCATATCATACCTTAACACGTTTAAAATACGAATTGAGGTAAGATTGCTGGGTAGAGAAGTGTAGCGATGAAATGGTATTTTGAGTATATGTGTACATATGTGTTTATTTCACTACGGAAAAGGTTTTTTTGAAAAAGAGAATGCTTTGGAATGTCTTTAGTGTCACCCTATGTCTGAGCCAATAAAGTGAAACCATGGTTAAAATTATAGTAGCATTTTAAGAGAAGTACTAAAAATCAGTGCTAATAAAATGAAATTTTACTCACAGTATTTTACGTGCCAAACTAATACGTCTCCTTCACCTATAGGTAAAATTTGTCTCTTTAGAGTCTTAGTGAATTTGGGCTGCTATAACAAAAGACTTTAGACAGTTAATTTATAAATGACATAAATTTATTGCTCACAGTTCTGGAGGCTGGAAAGTCCAAGATCAAGGTGCCATTATATTCAGTGTCTGGCGAGAACTCATTCCTCATTTATGGTGACTTCCGTGTGTGCTCACATGGCAGAAGGGACAACAAACTCCCTTAAGCCTCTTTTATAGGAACTCTAATCCCATTTATGAGGGCAGAGCCCTCATGACTATATCACTTCCCAGAGGTTCCACCTTTTAATACTCTTGCATTGGAGATTAGGTTTCAACATACGAATTTGTGAAGGGAATACACATTCAGACCACAGTAGAGTCAATGAACTTTTTATATGGTATAATTTTTTTTCTTTTATCGTCTGATCAGCTAAATTTTTCCTTTAGTGTCACAGTGAGCTTATGAGATGTGGAACATGCATCTGATCTCATAGTCAGAATACATATGCCTGTTGGTCTTAAATAGCATTTTCATTTCCTTATATTTACACATATGAATGTTGTCTGTGTGTGTGTGTATGTGTGTGTGTGTGTGTGTGTGTGTGTGTATGCTGAGTTTGAAACTAGTTTATTATATGGGGCAGGTTGAACTGTCCTAGCTACCCACAGAAATTTGAACCAATGGGATCTGTCTCTGTGGGCGTTGAAGAGTCATTTTTAAGAATTTATAGACATGGAATATCTTGACTCTTTCACGGTTTTGCTTCTGTCCTGACTGCTCTTATTTGTCAAATGATAAATTCTTCATATACCTTAAGCAATCTTGGATTAAAAGCATGTGGGTTTGAAGAGGATTAAAACATTGTTGTTAAAACATTTTTTTAAAAAAAAGGCAATATGTAGCAACAAAGCCCAGCATTTCTGATATCCTTCAACATAAGAATTTAATAATCAGCTCCAAATAAGAGATACATGAATGTTGGAGGTCCTGATTAGTTAGGAAATAGTTTATCATTTTTATTTTGGAGTTTTTAGTTATTTGGGGGAGATATTAAAAAATTAAGTATGTATGCATTCTTAACTTTGGTGTAGTCTTTGTTGTGGAAGGGGAATGACTTTACTATGTATTTGATATTTTTTTGTGACTATTTTTGAGCTTTAATTGGTCTTTCTGTGTTTTGATCTGTTCTGCAGCACACTGGTTTTATGAGTTTTTGGAATAGTAAGGGAATGAAAATTTACAGCTACTAAAGCAATATTCATGGCAAAATGGATGTTATATTTTGATTTGTTACTATTATGGGCTACTGCTTAAACTAAATTTATCTGTTATTACACAGGTTTTCTTGTCTTTTCAAGATGCTTGAAAAACTGAGAGGATATGAAGGCATGTCTCTGGAAAAACAAAAACACGGGCATACTCATCCAGAAATCTGAGTTATGTGAGACTTGGTAATACAGAGATGGACAATCATACAGGAAGAAAGCCCTGCTGCAGAGAGGACAGTTAACACAGAACTCAGTGTACCAAACATGCATATCAAGGACACACAGGGATTTTGAAAATGCTGCACATCCCTTATTAGTCATCTACATAGGTAATACTGATAAACATTTTGTATTCAGACACCAAAGTTAACTGATTTAAAAGTTGATTTACTTTTTATTAAGTTCTCTAGAGCTGTGCAACTAGTTCTGTTTTGATTTGTTTTGTCTTTTAGTTTGGGGTTTCTTTATTTTCCCCAACATAATGTTTCTGCATTCATCTATTCTTGAATTGAAAACCACATAATTTACTTCTTATAAACTAAAGTCTTAAATGTGAAACCAAGAAATGTAATCAAGCAGTAAAAACATTCTCTGAATGTAGACCATGATCTCAAGTTCTTCCATTTTTTTTCCCGTAAGAGTGGAAAATAGACTTCTACATAGGAAAGCTAAAATATGTTAATATTTTTAAATTAAAGGTTTAATATTATCAGAATGCAGTCCAAAGAATAAATCAGGTTACATAATTACATTTTAATTAATTAAATGTAGAATTATCTACTGAATTGCAATGTATTAAATATATTGTTTCCTCTTAAATAAAACTGCTCAACATTTAATCAGCAGTGAATCATCTTGCAGCTATGCAACTTTTGAAAAAATACAGATTACCAATTTTAAGTGTTGCCAGCTACAATAACTTTGTTTTAACGGGTATTTTTCGTTTGTTCTTTTCACGTAATTATTTTGTTGTGCTTTGCATCTCCAGGCAGTTTTCCCACATTTGGGTAGAATGTTTAGCAAGTTGTAAACTTAATAACTTTAGAAAAGCATAAAATAAAATTTTTTGGAGTGGAACTTGGAATAATTTGAGGGAGATTTTATATACTTTTAAAAATCAGAATTTAATTGGTATGCCAATTTATAGCAATTTGCATCTTTAATTTTCCAGAAAATCTGGAGGTTAGCATTTGATAAATGATTTTTTCAAAGCAAATATGAAGATTTTGTTAA